GGAAGAACATCCCATGCTCGTGGATAGGAAGATTGAACATTGTGAAAATGTCAGTTCTACCCAAAGTAGTCTATACATTCAATGCAATTCCAATCCAGATCCCATCAACATTCTTTAAGGATATGGAAAAACCAATCACTAACTTTATATGGAAAGGAAAGAGACCCTGGATAAGCAAGGCACTACTGAAGAAGAAGAACAAAGTAGGAGGTCTCACACGGCCAGATCTCAAAACCTACTATACAGCCACAGTAGTCAAAACTGCCTGGTATTGGTATAATGACAGACACATATAGACCAATGGAATAGAATTGAGAACCCAGAAAAAGATCATTGACGTATGGTCAGCTGATCTTTGACAAAGGGCTGAAATCCATTCAATGGGGAAAAGAATGTTTGTTTAATAAATGGTGCTGGCAAAACTAGATATCCATTTGCAGAAAAATGAAACAAGATCTGTACCGCACACCATACACAAAAACTAACTCCAGATAGATCAAAGATTTAAATGTGAAACCTAAAACTATAGCATTCCTCAAGGAAAAACTAGGGGCAAATTTAGGGTCCTTAATATATGGCATAAATAGACAATCAAGCATAACCCAAAATGCACAAACAGCAGAAGAGAAACTAGATTAATGTGACCTTCTAAAAATCAAATATTTATGTGTTTCCAAAGACTTCTCCAAAAGAGTCAAAAGGGACTTACATATTGGGAAAAAAACATTTGGCAATGACATATCTGACAAGGGATTTTTCTCTAGAATTTATAGAAAACTCCAATATCTCAATAACAAAAAGACAAATAATCCAATTAAAAAATGGGCAGAAGACATGAATAGACACTTCACCAAGGAGGATATTCAAGCAACCAACAAACATATAAAGAAATGCTCATGATCAGTAGCCATTAGAGAGATGCAAATCAAAACAATAATGAAATACCATCTTGCTCCAGCACTGGTAGCAAAGTTCAACAAGACACAAAATAACAAATGCTGGTGAGGATGTGGAAAGATTGGGACTCTCATACACTGCTGGTGTAAAATGGTACAACCAGTGTGGAAAGCAGTATGGCAATTCCTTCAAAAGTTGGAATTAGAAATACCATTTGACCCAATGCGGTGTAGTGAATTACTTAGTGTAGCTTTTCTAGCCATAAGTCTTTTTAAACTCTGTGGTGGAATTTGCTGTGAGCAACTAAGGAGTTCCTGATTGTAAAAGTTATCCACCTGGCACAAAGCAATGTTCTGGGACGTTAGTTCTCTCTCAGGTGCTTAGAATTCTGATGTTATGATTGGCTAGTTTGGCCACTCTGCCGGGCTCAAAAGGAGGCTTCCTAGAGGCAGAAGAAGTCTCTCACTGATTGCTGGCTGACTCAATAGCTCCTGCGAGACATGTGCTGCTGGGAAAGAGACACGCATTGCTGAGAGAGACACCGAGGGACACGCACTACTGGGAGAGACTGTGAGAGACTGTTGAGAGATGGCAGGCTGGGGAGAGACACAGCATTTTTCCTGAACTCAAATTGTAGCCTGGTGCTTCCCTAATAAACCTCACAATCTGTGAGTTCTGTGTGGCCACTGTAGTGAATTATTGAACCCAGGACAGAGGTGGTGGGTGCTTTGGGACGAACAATTGGTGAAAGGGCTGGAGGGAGGCAGCATGTCTGGCCTTGCAGGCATAAGCCTTGGGTTACTGATAGTGACTCTATCTTCCTCTTGTGGGGTTAGAGGAGGTCAGAAGATGTCCTTTCTGCACCCAGCCATTCCATTACTAGGTATATATCCTAAAGAAGTGAGAGCCATGACAATGTCTGTTCACTGCTGCACTATTTACAATAGCCAAAAGGTAAAAACAACCCAAGTGTCCATCAACTGAGGAATGGATAACCAAACTATGGTCATACGTACAATGGATACTATGCAACCCTGAAGAATAACCTAAAATATGCAAAACACCACATAACGTGGATAAACTTGTAGGACATTATGCTAAGTGAAATAAGTCAATCACATAAGGAAAATATTGTATTAGTTTGTTATTGTAAAAATCAAGGAAAGGTTTTATCTATGGAAGGAAATTCTCTTTGTTTGTTACCAGGGGTGGGAGGGGAGGGGAGGAAACACTGTTAGATAGGCAGAGATAAGTATTGATTTGGGTGAAGAGAAGGGCAATGTACCAAATGTGAGTGATCAAAATGGTGGCACTGAGGAAGAGGAAAACATAGAGAAGTACATGGGAGGTGCAGACAACAAAGATGAACCCTTTTGCACATACAGTACTGAGTTGTCAGTGAAGGTAAACATGGGTATACAGGTGGATAGATGTGTGGACAGGTTCAACTACTAGGTATGTCTATGAAGTGGGGAATGTACCCAAGACTATGTATAGGGTTGGCAGACAATGGTTCTAGAAGTGTATTTGTATGATCTAAATTCCCATGTGTATAGTAGAGGTGACAAGTGACAAGGCTGTAGTCACTTTTTGATCACAGCCAGCTACCCAGAGGGACTGAAGACTTGAACATGTGGGCTCAGGACCATAGTCACAGGGGACATCAAGCTCAATTGGCATAACATACTACATAAAACATTGTTTCACCTCCTACTTTGGCAAGTAGCAACTGGGATCTTAAAAGCTTGCAAGCAGCCGTCTAGATGCAATGATGGATCTCTCCTCATCTAGAGCAAAGAAGAATGAAGAAAACCAAGGATTCATGGAAAGAATTAGTCATAGTGACTGGTAAACTGTACGATCCACAGCTCATACAACTATGAGACCAGAAGAACTAGATGGTGCCCGGCTACCACTGTCAACCACTTGGAGGGGGATATATGGAGGAGATCCTGGATAGACAGGGAGAACAATGTGGAACAAAACTCAAAATCATTTGGGGGAAAAAAGAAGGCAGGGTAGGGGGATGAGGTTTGCTGGTCTGATAGAGCCTGGTGGAACCACTGAGACTATGGCCCCTAGCTGCCCTTCAGGTCTGGAATTGAACCCACTCCTGTGGCTTCTAGCCAAGCAAAAGACAGGCATAGGAGTTGAACATTTACCTGAGGTAGATACACCCCTTGGAGAGAACAGTCATGGGAGAAAGAAGGGCTATTTATGCACAGGGAGACAGCTCAGGGGGCAGGAGTGCACGGAGGGATGGACACAGGAAGAAGTAACCATCAGGAGGAAATGGGAGGGGAGCTGTTGCATTGTGGTGAATTGTGGTCAATGTCATGAGACAAAGTGTACGTGAATTGCTGTATGGAAAGTGAATTTGCTCAGTAAATTTTCACTCAAATGACAATTAAAAAAAATAATAATAAAAATAAAACATTAAAAATAAATAAATAAAAAGAAATACATGGTAACAAAAAAAAATTCATTATGGGACTTGAAATGAACTTGTTCTCTCCTTGCCAAGACTGTTATAGTTGCCACTGAGTCACCTCTGACTCATGGAAACCCCACGTATAGCGGAACAAAGCATTACCCATTCCTGCACCATTTTCATCACGGCTGGTATGTTTGAGTCTATTGTTATAGCTATCATGTCAATCCATGTCACTGCAGGTTTCCCTTGCCTTCACTGGCCCTCCACTTTACCAAACATGTGATCATTCACTCCTAAAGACATTTCCAAAGTCAGTCAGTCAAAATCTTGGACAATATTCTGTGATCTACAGGGTTTTTAATAACTAATTTTCAGAAGTCACCAGACCTTATTTCTTTGGTGTATCTTAGTTTGGAAGCTCTGATGAAACCTGTCCACCATGGGTTATTTTGCTAGTATCTGAAATACCAGCAGCACTGTTTCCAACATCATGCAAGCCACCGCAGTACGATAAGCTGACAGACAGGTGGTGGCCTTGCCAAGGGACTCTACCCAATTTTAATTTGGTTAAAGAGACTCCTTGGGTGAGTCATCAAGTGTAGTTCACAGGGCTCTATCAAGAAATCAAAAAATAGCTAAAGGCTTTTTTCCTACCGAAGACCTTATATGACAGGTATTATTATCCCCAATCTTCAGATGAGGAAACCGAAAAAAGATGTTTCTTGCCCAGGGTTTGGTTCCATAGCCAGTGCTTATATATATTATTCTGCCTCTAATATACTGAACTGATAAAGACAAAAACAGAATAAATCAAAATATAATCATATCTCAAGTCACTAAAAGAAAGCATCATTTTATCAATTTAATGTTATTTTTTATGAAGACTCTGATTCAATATTTAATCACTGTTTTAAATATATTTTTGAACATTTTTGTCCTAAACATTACCTGTGAAACAATTAATCACCACAAAAACAAACCCTTTGTGTAAATTTTATGATGTCTATTCTCCTACCTGACACTGGTTAATAGCTGCATGGTTGCCATGGAATGGAGACTGTCTTTCTTTATCTCGATGATGCCGACTGCTGTGCTTACTTCTCTGCAATTGCTGACGTAGTTTTGCAATCTGACAAGGGAAAAATAACAAGTACACCATGTATTCTCCACATTACATTAAAAAAATCCTTGCTTAACAATAGTTGGTACAACTCAGCCTTAATAAACCCTTTGAGTGCTTAAACCATAACAAAATCTGATTGAATGTCTTAAAAATTATATATATAATTGCATGTAAATATATGTATTTGTTGTTAAAGAGAAATTAAATTTTGTTCTAACATTGTTCTAAGCCTTTAAGCATCCCAAATACTAAAGAAATGCAGTTTTTAGCATTGAGAGTAAGTTACATTACCGTTTTCACAAAGAATTAAATATAATAATTATTCTCTATTGCCCTTACAATAGGAATGAACTTTTAGATTTTTTTAATCAAACACCTAATCTTCAATAGCTCCAAAAATTTACAGTATTTAAAAATCAATTCAACCTCAACAACAAAATAAAATCAATTCAAGTCCTGAAATTTATTCACAAATACAGCCTTTAAATAACAAATGCTTCAATGAATATACTGTATTATTCCTTGACTGGACTTTTGGTTTTTTTCTACATTACATGTACAATGCAAATGTTATAATTACAGGCAGAGAAAATGGTAATCAGTCATAGCACAGAGCCATGATCTTCTCAGTTATGCTGGGTTATTGAATTTCAGAGATACTAACATATATGGAAATATTAAAAATGAATGTGCTGATATCACTACAATTCTATACACCTGGTATTTACATATATAAATAGGTAAGGACTCTAACAAAAAGGACAAAGAAAAAAAACTAACATGTAAATTTTCCTATTCAAATCTTTTAACAACAAATTAACACAGTAATTGTTTTTCCATTGCTATTTACCAAATTAAAAAAAAAAAATCAAAAGAAACTAGGCAAATGCTCGCTGCACACACCTTCAAAGGATCTAGCCAAACAAATAGATCTAATTTCCACACACACTCCCTTGGAACCATTTTCCTTACCTCCTTAAGTTGATCTGTACTGCCCCAGGATGCTGAACGCTTGTGAGACCCTTTCTTCTTTTCAGTGTATTCTTCAGCCCATGCACTTTCTGTCTATAATGGAAAAAAGAGAGGAGGGGTATATTAATAATCATTTCACAATAACACATACCATATTTTTCAACTAGAAAATACATTCCTATTATAGAAACAGTGTAACCCAAACTATTTTACTTAATTATGAAGACCAGTTTTCCATTCCAGGTGCCACAACTGGAAACACATCTATAAACTTAACGTGTATCTAACAAAGGAGTGGCCAACGTAGTACAGCATCTGGATATTAGCTCACTAGGAATTACATCTGTTCTATACAACCTATGAAGAGAACATCAGACTCAAAGATAGAAATTATGGGGAAGCAGATCTAAGCAATGTAAGATGAACTTTCTTCAGTTGGCAATTTTCTTGATAGGTGTATTTCAACAATTTTTGTGGAATTCAGCTCCATAATCTTGTGACATCATCATTCAAAAACTCTTTCATATCCAAGAAAGACAAAGCTATTGAGAGGCAATGGCAGGCTTTACACTGAAGTAATTGGGTTTGGGTCTGAAAAAAAAGATTATACTTTCCTTTCTTCCTAATATTACATCCTAATTTCAAGCAATAGATCAAGGTCTTAATTAAAATAACAAGAGTAACTAAAAAGGTAATTAAAGAAAGAAAAGTTGATTCATTTCTTTAGAACGTTCATTTCACAATTAAGATACATAGTAATTTTTTAGTGCTGCTTATAATTAAACACCGTAAGGGGTTGCTATGAGTCCGGCCGACTGGATGGCAAAACAACAACAAAAACAAATAATTAAACATGTAAAACAGTTGTTTCTTTTTTGGCTAGATTCTTTTTTTGTAAGATTCCAGATTAATCTTAAATAAAAGGAAACAACCTCTAAGTAAGTTTGTAGACCTATAAGCAGTTATCTTAAGTACTTCAGCATTATTAATATTCCCACATGAATCAGTGGGGCTCATCAGAAATGTCTGGCAAAAAACAAAAGTGAAGTAATTAACTAGCATTCATCAATTAGGAAACCCCACATCTTCCAATAAGGAATCTGACAACTTTTGATTAGTCATGTTAGTGCTAAATTCACTTGCCAAAGATGAGGAAATGACAATGTAAATAAAAGACTAGAGTGCCCAGCCACTACTGCATCATTCCCTTAGGCGATTCTGCACAAGAACTTTACAAGCAAGTAAGACAGTTATAAATGCTCTTTGTATTTGTACACTTACCAGTCCCAATCTGGGACATTTATAAGAAGTTGAAGAAAGTATACAGTTTATAGTTTAATTCAATGTAGTCAGAGCTAGGTCATAGCCAGTTGCCTCACTGAACTGCTCCTAGTGATTGGTAAAATTCTTTATTCTTACTAATATAACAAAATATCTGAACTCACCAAACTTGAAAATACAAGGGAAATAAAGAGCATTGTGGAAATGTTTAAGGAAATCTACTCACTCAAATTTAAATGAACATGTGGATTAAGCAGAAACTTACTTGTTTTCCATTACTGTTGATGTTAATGTTAGGTTCTGACCCATAATGACTTCAGGTACAAAAGAAAGAAACACTGTCCTAACTCTCACGATCCTCACAACTTTTGCTATGTTTGAGCCCACCGTTGCAGCCAGTGTTAATCCATCTTGTAAGGGTTTTCTGCTCTGTTGCTGACCCTCACATTTACCAACCATTATATCCTTCTCCAGGGACTGGTTCCTCCTGATAACATGTCCAAAGTACGTGAGACCAAGTCTTGCCATCCTCATTTCTAAAAAGCATTCTGCTGTGTTTCTTCCAAGACAGAATGGTTTGTTCTTCCGGTAAACCCACTGCCATCGAGTTGATTCCAACTCATACTAACCCCCCATTGGGTTTCCAAGGCAGTAAATCTTTATGGAAGTAGAGTGCCCCATCTTCCTTCCATGGAGTGACTGGTGGGTTTGAACCACCAATGTTCCAGTTAGCAGTCAAATGCCTTAGGCACGGCACTACCAAAATTCCTTGTTCTTCTGGTAGTCCATATATTCAATACTCTTCACCACAGTTCAACACCGTAATTCAAATACATCAGTTCTTCTGCAATCTTCTTTTTCATTGTCCAGCTTTCACATGCATATGAGGGAACTGAAAATACCATGGCTTCAGGCATGTACACCTTTGCTTCTATACACACTTCACAGAGGACTTTTGCAGCAGATTTGCCCAATGCAGCATGTCTTTTGATTTTTTTGACTGCTGCTTCCATGCACACTGATTGTGGATCCAAGTAAAATTAAATCCTCGACAATGTAAATATTTGAAATATTCTCAATTGGTATCAGTTCCTGAAGCCTTGTTTTTTGCCAATACTTTCAGTGTGTCTAGGACTTCTTTATTCAATACCATCAGTTCTTGATCATATGCTACCTCCTGAAATGGTTGAATGTCAACTAATTCTTTTTGGTACAAACACTGTGTGTATTCACAGGGAAAAGGTAACCACAGGCCAGAAGTGGGAAGAGAGCTGTTACATTTTGGGGACTGTAATACATGTCCTGAGAAAAAATGTGTATGAATTGTTGCATGGAAAATGAATTTGCTCTGTAACCTTGTACCCAAACCACAATACTAATAAATAAATAAAAGACTGTGTATTCCTTCATCTTCTTTTGACGCTTCCAATGTCATTCAAAATTTTGCCCACAGAATCCTTCAACACTGCAACTCAAGACTTGATTTTTTTCTTCAGTTCTTTCAGCTTGAGAAATGCCAAGCATGTTCTTCCCTTTTGATTTTCCAATTCCAATTCTTTGTACATTTCATTATAATACATTACCTTGTCTTCTGGAGCTGACCTCTAAAATCTTCTGTTCAGCTCTTTTACATCATCAATTCTTCTGTTCACTTGAACCACTCCACATTTAAGAATAAGTGTTAAAGTCTTGTCTGACATCCATTTAGGTCTTCTCTTTCTTTCTTGTCTTTTTAAGGACCTTGTGCTTTCTTTTCGTATGATGTGCTTGATGTCAAACCTCAACTCATCTGGTGTTAGTAATGGTCTCTAAATTCAGCGGGGGGGATATATTCAAGCTTGTAATTTGGCTGTTGCAGACTTGTTTTAATTTTCTTCAGCTTCAATCTCAATCTGAATATGAGCAACTGATGGGTCTATTCCATAGTTGGCCCCTGGCTTTGTTCTGATTGATGATATTGAGCTTCTCCATCTTCTCTTTCCACAGATGTCAATTTGATTCCTGTGCATTCCATCCAGTGAGGTTCACGTATCAAGTCTCTGTTTATGTTGCTGAAAAAAGATATTTGCAGTGAATAAGTCATTGGTCTTAAAAAATTCTATCATGAACTCTCCAGCATCATTTCAATCACCAAGGCATTTTTTTCCAACTACTGACCTTTCTTCCTTCCAACTTCTGCATTCCAAACACCAATAATTAATGTATCTTGATTGCATGTTTGACCAATTTCAGACTGCAGTAGTTGGTAAAAATCTTCAATGTTTTCATCTTTGGCATTAGTGGCTGGTGAGTAAATTTGAATGATAATCCTATTAACTGGTCTTTCTCATGTTGTTGTTAAATGCCGTCGAGTCGTTTCCGACTCATAGAGACCCAATGCACAGCAGAAAGAAACACTGCCCGATCCCGCGCCAGCCCCACAATCCCTGCTATACTTGAGCCCATCA